TTAGTTAACAACGGAGGCAAGTTAAGATAAAACTTAAGCTCATCAAATGCAACTTGGCATTTTATAGTCCATTTGAACTTTTTTAGCTTGCTAAATTCATCTTTTTGGGTCACCGATCTCATGATCTTAAAGAATGGAAGGTACTTGTCAACTGACTTAGAAACGAATCTACGAAGGGTTGTTACTCTCCCAGTTAACCTCTGCCTGTCTTTAATGGATTTCGAAGGTCCCATCTCTACTATTACTTTGATCTTCTCTGGGTTGACCTTAATCCCACTCCCAGAGACCATGAAACCCAGAAATTTTCCCGATTCCACACCAAAGATGCATTTTGCTGGGTTCAACTGCATGTTGTTCTTCCTCAAATTGTTGAAAGTTTCATCCAGGTCAGCTAAATGTTCCTCGGCTTTCAAGCTCTTCACCACGATATCATCAACATAAACTTCCATGTTCGCCAATCTAACCTTGGAACATGACGGTTACCATCTTCTGGTAAGTGGCGCCTGCATTCTTTAAACCAAAAGGCATTATGACATAACAATAGATTTCATCACTTGCATAAAATGAGGTTTTCTTTTCATCGTTAGAGGCCATTGGAACTTGGTGGTAGTTGGAATATGCATCTAAAAGACTCAATCTCTCATTTCTGGAAGTTGCTTCAACCAATTTGTCAATATTTGGCATCAGATAGCAATCCTTAGGACAAGCCTGATTGAGATTAGTATAGTCATGCACATTCGCCACTTGTCGTTAGCTTTTTTGACCAACACTATGTTGGCAACCCATTCACAATAGTCAACTCTTTTGATGAAGCTTGCTTGCAAGAGTTTCTCCACCTCTTCCTTAATCACCTTCAAGATTGCTTGCTTGAAGACTTTTTCAATGGATTGGTGTTGAGCTTGTGTATAGATACCGAGGTTGGGATTATTGGCATATCCATTAAAGTCCAAGCAAACACATCTTTATTAGCTCAAAAAGCTCTTAACTCGGCTCTTTCTTTTGGGTTCAGACGGGTTCCAATCTGGGTTTTCCTACTCTAATCTCTGTCATCAATCTGTACTTCTTCAACATCCTCAATCGAAGTAACTCGAGTTTCATCTTCTAGTCGATTATCAAGTATCTCTACTCCAATCACCTGTTGTCTATCAAAAATTTCCTGTGGAGTAGCCTTTGGTGTTTCATTTTTCTCCTTTTGAGATCATGTAATTGAGGTAATATAACAATGCCTGACTACTTCCTGATTATCTCTTAACGTCGCTATTCCTATAGGTGTGAGGAAATTCATACACAGATGTGATTGAGAAACTACATCTCAGATCTCTACTAATGTAGGCCAACCAATGACAATGTTGAAGGAAGATGCTATTTTAACAAGTAGGAACCAAACTGAAGGAGTGACATAAGTTTGTCCTTGTATAAATGCCACATTAAGAGTAAGGACCTCATGAATTGGAACTGGTTGGTTATTAAAACTGTAAATAAGACCATCATATCTTTGCAATAAAGCTAGATCGAGACCCAAGCTCTTAGAACAATGATAGTACATTATATTGGGTGCACTACCAGTATCAATAAGGACACGTTGTACTTGACAGTTATTAATTATAATGAAAGTAACCAATGGATCATTGTGAGGTGTAACAGCCCCATCAAGGTTAGCGTAGGTGAAGCCGATTGGCTAATTCTTCCATTCAACATCATCAAATTTACTTTTCTGAGCTTGGTTCTGGTGTTTCACCTTTTTGACATATAGCTTCTATTGTTTGGAATTCAAGACTCTTGCTTCTAATTCACCTATAATCATGTGGATGATTCTAGCTAGGGGTGGGAGAGGGGTGAGGCTTGCTAATATCCCACAACCTTTCTAGTATTTGTATTACAAGAGCCGTGTGGTTATGATTTCTGTTCTTTGACAAACCAGGGCTGATTTGTCTTCTGGATGTATTCATTCAACGTTCCCCTTCGAGCTAAACCTTCCAACTCGGACCTCAAATTATTACATCCTTCGGTCGTGTAGCCATGGTCTTAGTGGAAATCACAATATTTGGTATGATCTTGTGTAGCAACAGAGCTTCTCATTGGTGTTGGTCGTTTCAGGTCCATCTTATTCTTGATTTGCATGAATATTTGTGACCTTGACAGATTGAAAGAGGTCCATGTCCCGGTGTCTTTCCTGAAGTTTGTTGAGGAACTATTGAATCTAGTTTCCTGAATCTAGGTGTAGAGGTTGGCATCAGACCTCAATTTTGAATTGTCTTCACCTGTTTCCTACTTTGCCCTTTTTCTCTCCAAGTCGGGTTTTGGTTTTTAGCCAATGTTAGCTTCTGTGATAGGGCATATTCTTTAGCTGGTATAAACTTTTGAGATCTATCATTAACTTCATCAAAGGTAGTAGGAGGATGCTCAATCAAATTGTCCTTAAATCTTGTATGGTTAAGGCCTTGAATTATAGCTGCTATTCCCATAGCTTGATCAAAGGAATTAATCTCTAAAACTGCATCATTGAATCTGTTCATGTAATTTTTCAGAGATTCCCTCTCCCTCTGTATGACTCTCATGTGAATTCAAGTGTAGTTTTCTTAATCAACCTTCTACAAATGAATTTTGTAGTAAAGGCAGTTGTCATCTCCATGTAAGAGCTGATGGATCTCGGAGGTAAGTTGTAGTACCATGTTTTAGCATTACCTTGGAGGGTAGAAGGGAAAATTTTGGACATCAAAGCATCAGAAGCATTCTGAACTTGCATACAAGAATAAAAGGCATGTAAATGATCATCTAGGTCCTTAGTTCCATCAAATGTTTCAAAGACATCTTGAAACCAGTAGGGTAGGGTTCCAAAGTTCTGTTGGCGTTCAACAAATATTGCATAGAGGTGGTGTTGTTTTATGGAGGTGGAGAGCTTTGCTTTTCAGCTACTATCCTTTCTAAACTATCCAATCGTCGAGTAACATCATCAGGCAAAGGTGGTTGAGGTGGAACCACATGAGACTGGCCTTGTGATTCATTGAGGGCTGGGGCAGTCAGCTATCATTGGAGTGGGTATAATGTGGTTCTTGTCGCTGAGTTAGGGATTGTTTGGCTGGATTGAGTAAGTTAATGAGGGGGTCATCGAAATTATTTCTAGCTAAGAGCTGAGCCAAAACCAATTGAAAAACACCAAATTGTTATTGCATTGCTGCAAGTTGAGTTACTATTGGATCACCTTGATTAGGAGTGGGAGTTGAATTGTGAGGTTGGTTTTCATCGCCTCCCTTTGTATGTTTCAAAGGAGCGAATGGGTTTAGGGTAGGAGGTGGAAAGTTATTTGTGTTCAGAGCTTGACCCTGTCCGAGAGGCTGAGCTTGACTCCTAGTTCGAATAGATCGAGTATTAACCATGGTGAAAAGGCAATAATAAGGCTTTTACTTCGGGTTCCCACAAAAGGCGTCAAATGTAATTGCAACGAACCAACAAGTCTCTTTCAGTCCAAATCTTCTCTTTAGATTGACCTGCAAAGCCTTGAGATGGGTTTTTGAGGTAGACACTTTGATGCTTAAGTTAACAATAATCTAGTCTACCTTAAGAAAAGACTAAAAGAAGCTTGAGGTCGATTTTAATCACCTTTTGAGGGTAACCCTTGGAGGTAATTATAGGCCTTAATGAGGTATTTATGTGGCTTGCTTAACGATATAATCGGGGTCTGATGTGTTCAGTGAAGTGATGATCTCAGGAACAGGGGATTGGGTGAAGGCATGCTCATTGTAATTATGATACAATTGGGGAGAGCTGAATTTAGACTTTACCTCGATTGTCGAGTGACCGAGATCGAAGAGCTGATGAAAGATTGAACTTATCAAATACATAGTATGTTTGAGATCGGTAATCTCGAACTTGCTCTTAACTTGTCCTTACAATTAGGATAATTATAATTTTGAATTTTTTATTTTAATTTTTAAAATTTTTAATATATTAAAATAAAATTAAATAATTCTATAAATTAATTAAACTTAAAATTTTGAGTGTTTGTTTCAAAATTTTGTATTTAATTAGTTAAATATTTTAATTAATTTAAATTTTAAAAAACCAAATAAAAAAATTTAAGAATCAACTATACTAATAGAGTCTCAACAAATTTTCCATTGTCGCTCGTTCTGCTCCAAGCCAATAGAATTTTCGAATGAACAGAAGTACAAAAAAAAAAAAAAAGTTTAAAAATTTGCAACACTCCACTTCGGGTGGGATTGTGAAATCAGGTAAAAACCTACTTTTGGTCATTTACCTTACTAGATTTATAGGTTTTAGTCCCTCACCTTATACTATGGCATTTTTCGCCCCCTCACCAATTAGAATTGAAAAAAATAGTCCTCGCCTTATAATATTTCGTTAGTTCTGTTAACTGATTGTTAACTTTGTTAATTGAAAGTAAGTTTTTGCCAATTAACAGTTAGCTAACAGTCAGCTAATACATAGTTCTATTAACTGATTGTTAATTTTATTAGCTGAAAGTTGGTTTTTTCTAGCTAACTGTCAACTAATAGTTAGCTAATAGAGTTAACAGTTAACTAACAGAATTAACAAAATGTTATTAGTTAGGGCTTTTTTTTTAATTTAATTTTAATAGATGAGGGGCTAAAAGTGTCAGAGTATAAGACGATGGGTTAAAACCTACAAATCTAGTAAGGTAAAGGGCTAAAAGTATGCTTTTCCTCACCTTGTACTATGGCATTTTTAACCCCTCACTTATTAGAATTGAAAAAATAGCTTTCACTTTATAATATTTCGTTAGTTCTGTTAACTAACTATTAACTTTGTTAATTAAAAAGTAAGTTTTTGCCAATTAACAGTTAGCTAACAGTCAGCTAATAGAATAATTCTATTAATTGATTGTTAACTCTATTAGCTGATTGTTAACTTTATTAGTTGAAAGTAGGTTTTTGCTAGCTAACTGTCAACTAGTAATTAACTAATAGAGTTAACAGTTAACTAACAGAACTAACAAAATGTTATAAGTTAGGGCTATTTTTTTTTTTTTAATTCTAATAGATGAGGCACTAAAACTGTCATAATATAAGATGAAGGGTTAAAACCTACAAATTTAGTAAGGTAAAGGGCTAAAAGTATACTTTTACCATGAAATCCACATAAACAACGATAAATTAGGTTCACATATGCAATTTTATACTACACTCGATTATTTTATTTTATTTTTTATATTAAGGATTTTAAGATAATTTATGTTTTTAACTATATATCATCTTAAACAAAAAAAAAAAAAGAAGATAAAATGAGACCTTTAAGAAAAATATTTGTCTCTCTTCTAAAATTGTAAAAAACAAATAACTTGAAACAAATTTTTGTAAAAAAGGATTATTTTTATTTATTTTTAATAATTATAATTTAATTTTTTATTATTTTAGAAAAAAAAATTAGATAAAAATTTAGTATATTATATAAATAATAATTAAAATTTTTTATCAAATAAATATAATTGAGAAAAACTTCATATAGAAAATTTTTAATTATTATTTATATAAATTATTAAATTTTCATTTAAAATTATATTTAAAAAATCAAAAAAAGTGAAATTATTAAATAGGAATGGAGGGAAGTTTCATTTTAGGCCAAGGAGTAGAAAAGGGTGTATAAGATAAGACAATACTTATAATTTCATATAAAATTTTAAGTTTACAATCATAACATGATATTAAATGAATATAATGTGTTATTAAACAAATAAATACATGCCGTCATGACACATCATGTTTTGCGCTTAATGTCATAATATTATAATTATAACATTTTTTGTACAAGATAAAGAAAATCACTATCATTCTCAGCAGATGATTTAGCTAGTTATCTTAAATCCTTCTATAAATACAACTCTCAAGACGTCTTTCCCTTTAAAAACTCAAATTCTATCACTCACTCTAATCCATACTAACTACTATAATTGATCAAGCGGAGTTCTTTTTTGTTTGAGTGAGGAGGAAGAGGGTGAAGCAGATATGGAGAAGAAAGGTTGTGGTGTTGTAGTGCGGGTCATGGTGGTGCTAATGCTAGTGGATGTTGCTATTGCAAGAATAGTGACCGACCAGAAATTGAATAAAAAAGTAAGGAGAAATATGCTCACTAATAGCCTTGGCATGACTCCTCCAATGGGGAAAGTGTACCAGAGTACCATTAATTAAATGCAATACACTGAAATATATGCATTAAGAGATGAAGGATTCATTGGATTTGATCTTCCCACCAATATGTCAAGATTTAAGCACTTTGGTTCATGTTTTTCCTGTGATCTATGTCCATGACTTTTATAAGAATCATGTACGTAGTACTATTATTCTCCCTGTTAGGAATCTTTCATGGTTTTTGCCAATATATAATGGCATAATATGTACATGGTAAGGGCATTCAATCTCGTTGAGACATTGATGTGGAATTGTATATTCTCTTAATCTACTTTATGTTTTGTGTATGTTCTCTAATTATTTTCTTTTGCAGAAAGGTTAAGCTGAATCTGGGATTTCTTTTTTATATAGGTGGAATAGTTGGAATCATTTTGGCTACAATATTAAGGAAAAGGTCATTAGAGAAACTAGTAAGTTTTGTAGCATAAGAAAAACGTCATCATTATTGTCAAATCTAACATAAAGGATATAATGTCAGAAGTGTTACTTTTCAATTTTGCTAAAATATGTTCAGTACCTTAACAAAGGACTTTTATTTATTTGACAATCGATGCATTGGTTTCAACTAGACTGGACAGTCTAAGATATAAATATGTTAACATAGGCAAGTTGCTCTAACGTCTCTGGTTCTTCTTCTTTTTTCTTTTTTCTTTTTTATGTTTGTTATCCATTCACTACAATATTCATATGAAGTTGTTAACAAAATAAATCTAAATGTTGTTTTCTTAGATGATTGCTAGGTTGAAATATCTTGAGATGAAAAGGAATGCTTTTTTCTTTTTCTTAGTGGACATATGGAAAAATGGAAGTCACTAATAGCTGAGCCTAATGAATTTTAGGGCAAGTTAATGCCTAAGAAGTCAACATTTCCATTAGGATTAAAAGCTCTAGCGAATTGTGCTCACAACAAGGGTTTTAAGCTAGGAATATACTTGGATGCAAGGTAACATAATGTGACAGATAATGTAATTTTTATCAACAATAACCTACTTTTAACCCTTTGCCTTAATAAATTTGTAGGTTTTAACCCCTTACCTTATTTTATGACACTTTTAGCCATTTACCTTAATAAGTTTGTAGGGTTTAGCCTATCACCTTAAACTATGACACTTTTAGCCTTTCACTTATATGAATTGAAGAAAATAGCCCTCGCTTAACATCAAGTTATAACATTCTGTTAGCTGACTATTGATTTTGTTAACTGACTATTAACATTCGTTAGCATTCCGCTATAGAAAACATGAAATTTAAATTCAATTTTATTTATTAGTTTCATTAACAGAATGCTAACAAAATGCTAATAGAACGCTAACAATCAGCTAATAGAACTAATAAAATGTTATAATCTGACCTTAAATAATGGTTATTTTCTTCAATTCATATAAGTGAAGGGCTAAAAGTGTCATAATATAAGGTGATAGGTTAAAACCTACAAATTTATTAAGGTAAAGGGCTAAAAGTATCATAGCATAGGGTAAGGGGCTAAAACCTACAAACTTATTAAGGTAAAGGGTTAAAAGTAGTTTTTAGCCAATTTTTATCCTAGACCTAATATATCCATTGTTGTTTATTTCCTAGATATTATACTCGTAGCAACCAAATGCTTGATTCTCTTGGTCCTGAGGAACAAGATGCTAAGACCTTTGCTGAATACGTATTAATTTCAAATTTCATTATTTTGCTATGTCAAATCTTATTACATTATTACATGAAATTGCATATTTATCAGAGTAGCAACATTTATCAACTATGGGAAAATATTGAAAAAAATGTTTAAAAATTGCATGTTCTTTGTAAGGTATTGACCATTTGAAGTATGATAACTATACTAATCGTGGATTAAAGCCGACCGAGAAGTGATTCAGTTTGTTCATCCTAGCTGCACCTAAATACCTGAAAGTTTAGCAATCTAAGCTAATTAATCATTTGAGCTGTGTGGATATCCTGTGATGACCCATGCTTCGAGGAACGCTGGCCGCCCCATCATCTTCTCATTATGTGAATGGTACTTGATTCCAATCATAATGTCATAAGTTCTTTAATCTAATTAATTTGTTAATTCATTCATTTTTGTTTATTAAATCAGCATCTTGCCTTTACCTTTTTTTGTAGGGGAGACATGCACCTTATTGAATGGGGGGCTCCAATTAGAAATAGTTGGAGAACGACAAATGACATAAGTGATAATTGGGCAAGGTAAAAATTAGTGTAGATGGACCATGACTTATGGTTTTTTTTTTTTTTATCAACAAAATAAACTTTATTAAGGAGGTACAAGGGGTACCTCAACCCATTAAAAGTCTATTGCAGCATAGAAAAAGATTAAGAAATAAGATTATAGGAGCCATGCCCATAACCCTTTATTAGTGTTTCCCTCCATTACAGGTAGGACAAAAGTAATCTTACTTGGAGTAACCCCTGCTAGCTTCCATTAGATCATTATACTAGATTGATTGGGATAGGTCTGGGATCCATCTTGCTTTGATCCATGCAAAGTAGCAAAATTTGATTTGGTCAAATACTTGTTCAAGATTCAACAACTCCCCTTTAAAAATCAGAGAGTTTCGCCATAGCCAAATAATCTGCACTATGAAGAACCATACTATCAACCAGATTTGCCTTGTCCTTCCTATATTTGTAAGGCCCCTTTATTGCTTTAGATGATTCCATTCGTCTTCTTGTGCTGCTGTCTTGATGCCTTACCAGTTGTAACAGAGGCACCATACCTTCCACGAGATTGGGCAAGAAAAAAGGATCTGTGTTGGTGACTCAGTTTGCTTTCCACAAAGAATGCATTTTGTTTCTTTATTCTCTTCAATCATACCTCTTTTTAAAAGATTTTCTACAGTCAGGATCTTGTCTTGTAACGCTTTCCATGCGAAAGCAAAGATCTTCATCGACAAATTGTTGTCCCATATTAGCTTGTATTGAGTATTGAATCCACTGTCTTGAATTTGATTTATAATATTGTAAGCCAAGCATACTGTGTATCTACTTTTTGGGTCATGTTTCCACACATAGTAGTTGTCTTCTTCTTGTTTTGGCTGTATTCCTTATATTGTTCAGATTAGTTCCTATAGCATATTTGTTTCCCACACGAAGAGTCTCCTTCTACAGTTCCATTTCCACATGCATTTGCCATTATTCCATATACCCATACTTGTAATAAAAGCTTCTTTTTCCCTGGACAAACTAAATAATCTGTTAAACTTATCCTTTAAAGGCATATTCCCCGCCTATACCTCATGCCAAAATAGTGTGTCTTTTCCTTCACCTACTTTTTTTAGTACCCCTTCCTTAAACTGTAACACCCCACATACTTTAATGAATAATTAAAAAATTAGTGTCCTCTAGTTTATAGTTTTAGGGATTAAATTGATTGAATTTAAAGTTTGGGGGCTTTAAGTGAAACTTAGTAGAAGTTGAATGACCATAACTCAATTATCCCAATTTTGCTTACCACGTGGCATTGTCCCAACCAAGTTTTTTTTCTTTGTCGGTGGAAGTTTGGATAAGCCTCTAGAAGGCTCCCAAAAGCCCCATTTTGTTTTCCTACGCCTTCCTCTTCCACCTACATCCTTTTCTTCCTTCTTTCTCCAACCAAGGTTAAGGTGCTTTTGTTAGGTAAGTATAAGTTTTAGTTATGAAATTTGGGTTAGAGTTTTGGGCAGTTTAAATTGGTGAGATTTGACTCTAATCATTTGGTTTATAAGATTTTTGGGTATTAAAATTTCATTTGAAATATCCTTAATTTTGGGGCTTATATGGGAAAAATAGTGAGTAGTCCTTTTTATGTTTGATTTGGGTGTGAATTTTCGCTGCAGGAATTATAAGTAAATTGTACTATTTATGAATTACTATTCACAATTACTGTTCACGATTATTATTCACGCATTATGCTTTGATCTCTTTCAATAGGAAGTCCTAATATTATTTTGGAAATATTATGAATTTGTTTGACATGCGTATGTGTTTGTAGCTATGGAGTAAGTGGACCTAAGCTTAAAGCTTGGGGTATTCAGTGGATCCTTCGAGGTATTTAGTGGACCTCTGCGCAGTAGGGTTAGTACTGTGATTAGCTTCGGTATAGTGTTGCTAGCACACCTTAGTGGACTCCATAGCATTGTGTGATTTTCGATTTTATGCATTGGGCTTGTGACATTGTATTTGTGAGCATATGATCTTAGTATATGAATTCAATTTAAATGTCATTGATTATTCCTTGACATTTGTGCTTATGATTTGAGATATTAAGTTATTATTTAAATAGTAAGAATTATAATATTATGTGATTTGATTCCGTTGTGTCTTATGCTCTTTGTGTGGATAGGTCTAAAGGTCTTAGGACCCAAGTTTATAGTTTAAACTTATTATTTATTGGGTTGTTAGCTCATAAAATTCCCCCCCAATTTCAGATCAGTAGATCAAGGTAGCAGCCTCTCGGTTAGGGAGCTTTTGGCACGGGACTCGCATGCTCGTTGTATGTACAAGTTAGGGCCTCGTGTTTTCGATAGGGAGGCAGATCGATGTGTTACCAAAACAATGACTCAGGTTTTGTTTTTTTTTTTTAAGTTTTGGAGAAGAATTTACCTCATATAATTTTTGTGTAAATTACCTTTATTTATAAAATCTTTAAATTAATTATAAATGAGCTTAACTCGGCTTATTTTATAACTTTGAATATTTTGGCATTTTTTCAATATATATATTGACTTGCTAAAGTGGTTTTCCTTTACAGGTATTTATGATCTTCTTTTTTTTAAAAGTGTTTTTATTTCTGCTGTATTTCTTTATTATAAATCTTATTTCCGAACTCTCCTAAGACTAAAAGTGCTTAAGGAGGTGTGTTATATAAACCATCCTCTTTCCTTCCTATTGCATGGTCTAACTTCCATAAGTCTACCACCATGTCAAACATGATCCTTCCCATACCTTTTTACTATCTATTTTATGTTGGAACATAATATTTTAATAAGAAAATAAAATAATATATTTTATAAATTAAATTTATTGTCCCATTAAGGACTTAGTCAAACTAGTTGTTGTAGGTTAATTGCTTTACTTAAAGGCACATTATTCATAACCTATAAATGGAAGTTACAAGACCATGAGTTCTATAAATAAGACATGTGTTTTTGCTCAAAGAAGTGTGTTCCTCCACCTTCTTCTTTCTTACCTTATTTTATCTTCTAAATAATCTTAGGTAAAGAAGGATGTTTTTGGAGTTAGGTCACTCTATGGATAGTGTAGATTCATAGAGTGTTATTACAAAGTTGTAGCATACTCAGGGCGATATGCTATATCTATCTTTGCTACACCAGTTGATCTACTTTTCATAGAGGCATGAATCGCCTTAAAGTAAGTAACTTTTCACACCTATTTCAATGATATTTTCTTATCAATATCTGTTGATAAGTCCAGTAATTATTATTTTACTTGATCTTGT